CGAAGCCCCTGGGCACCGTGGGCAGAGCCTCCCGACGTCCCCCGCAGGCACCCAGCGGGCCCGGACCACCACGCACGCCCTGCTGCATGTCCCCTACGGGCACGGCGACGGGGAGAAGCTTGACGTTTATTTGCCTGCGGATCCTTCTGGAAGTAGGTGACCAGCAGGGTGGCAGCGGGGAGGGGTGGGCAGGGGCTGCGCCTGCCTCCTGACCCTGTGTCGTGCCTTGCAGCTTTCCCAGTCCTTGTCTACATTCATGGTGGATACTGGCAGTGCTTAAGGTGAGGCAGACCATTTGTGGGGGGAGCCCTTGGGAGGGGACTACCTGGCCTGCCTTTACCATCCTCCTTCTCAGGAGAGCAGCCTTGAGCCTAGACTTGCCCTGGGTATTCTGGGTCTGATCAAACCTGCGGGGCTCCAGCCAGCCCTGGGGGAACGCCTGCCCCACAGTGTGTGGCTAACCTGCGATTCCTTCTCCAGTAAGGACGCCTCGGGTTTTGCAGCCCCCGCACTGGTGTCACAGGGTGTTGCAGTAGTGGCCGTGGGTTACAACATAGCTCCCAAAGGTAGGTGGTTTCCAGCTGCAGCTGTGACACCCCTCGCAGACTCAGGGCCCTACTGACTGTGCTCTCTGCCTAGGCCACATGGATGAAATGGTGGCCCAGGTGCGGCGCAGCCTCGTCTTCCTGGTGCAGCAGTACTCCCAGATCAGGTGGGCAGTGCACAGCTCTGCAGCGTGCCTGGTTTCCCCCACCCCCTGCATCAGCAGTCTCTATGGCCGTTGTCTGGCCTTCAAGACAAACTGTGCCTGTGTCACTCCCTGGGGTGATTTAGCGTATGGGGGTGTCTGTGGCAGCCACAGGGTGCCAAGTCCTGAGGTATAATAAACACCTGGGGTTGAATACTGTGCCAGGCCTGTGTGTGTGCTCCTTCACTGTTGGGCAAGGGATTGGCTGATGGACTGGAAGGTGCGTCTCAGCTGCTGTGTTTGGGCTGCAGCCCTTGGGAGTGTTCTGCCTCCTCCACTCTGAACAGGATGCCTGCAGGCGGGGTGTGCTGCACAGTCCCTTCTTACACGCTCATGGCTCCTTTTCTCTAGCGGTGTTTACCTGTGTGGACATTCAGCGGGAGCTCACTTGGCAGCTATGGTGTTGTCAACGGACTGGGCAGAATATGGAGTGACACCTGACATCAAAGGTAGTGCCTGGCCTCCCAGAGACCCCCCCCTGCTCCCCTGTGCTCTGGAAAGCTGGTGCTTGGGGCTAGGGTGCTGTCCTGGGGCATCTCCTCCTTTCCTGATCCAGCTGCATGGCTCTGGGCTGCTGGGCAGTGGGGTACGGCTCCATCAGTGCCTTCTCTGCAGCGAAGCTGTTCCCGGCCAAGTGCATGCTTGCTGGCAAAGGGGGGATCTGTGGGGAGTGACTCATCTTTTCCAGGGGGCTGAAGGAGAACTGGTGAATTGCACTCAGATGTGGCCGTCTTTCTGCTAACTCTTCAGGGTGCCAAAGTTGGCCAGTTCTGTAGTGTGTAAAGCTGTGTAAGATGACTTGCCTCAGCTGACTGCAGCCCACAGATGTTGGGAATACAAGAATGTGGGGCTCCTAGGACCAGCTGCCCCTGTAGGTGTAAGCGTCCTGTGCCCATCAGGCAGCTCAGCAGCGCCACCAAGGGCTGAGGCCTCCCTCTGCACCTTGAGAGACTTGGGACATGGGTGCAGAGAGGAGTGATCCCACAGGAGTGGCCTGAATGGTGGGGCTGCTCACACCTGCCAGTGTCTCTGCCTGCAGGAGCTGTTCTGGTGAGTGGTGTGTATGACCTGGAGCCCATTTTGCATGTCTATGTGAACGATGCGCTGAACATGAGTCGGTGAGTCCAGACACTCTAGTGACAGTGATTGGGAGAGGGCACGGGCAGCTGGCATGCAGGCATGTCTTTGGCCAGCACAGCCTATGGCAGACACCAGCCCACCCTGCACCCTGCTCTGCCTGTGTCTGCACAGCCTGCCCGCACAGAAGCGTACCGTGCACAGCATGCCTGCAGCCTCCGTACCTGACCCAGGCACAGGCCCTGCAGCCTCTGTCTTACTCATGCACACAAACCGAGGACATGGGAGCGCTCTCCTCTCAAAAGGTTTGAGAGGCATGCTGGCTGTCACTAAGCTGTCTCCTTCCTCAGGGAAGTCGCCCAGAGGAACAGCCCCATGCTATGCCTCACCGGAGCGGTGCCTGCAGCTGCGGCCTGTGAAGTGCTTGTGGCCATGGCCCAGTACGACTCCCCGGAGTTCCGCCGGCAGTCCCAGGAGTACTGCCAGGTGAGCTCCAGCAGCAGCTCTGCCTCCCTGCGCCCGGCTCTGCGGGCGCAGCAGCACAAACCTGTCCTGCTCTGACCTGCCTCCGTCCTGCAGGCCTCTGTGAACTGTACAAGATAAGCAGGCTCTGGCTTTGAGAGCTCTGGGCTGGCAACTCCAGCAGCACAGGGGAGAGTGCTGGAGAGCAGTGCTACAGAGCAGTGACTCTCCCTGCCTGTGGTGCGCAGTTGCCTTCTCTGTGGATGAACAAGTACAGGCTCCCACTTTGGGAAGAAGTCCTGCTTGCTGCTGGGCTAAACTGGGATGAAGAGCTCGTGTGTCGTAGCAGAACAGTATTTCTCCTGCTTGTGGTGATGGCTGTTGTCTGAAGATGACTCTGGGTGTGTCCCTGCTTGGGGAGGATGCTTAGTCCTTGCTGAGCAGTTGCCCTTGTTGCACTCTGTTCGGGGCCTAGCATACAGGAGAGGAGGCAACCCGATCGATGTCCCTTCCTGCCAGTGCTGGTCTCTTTGCAGGCCCTGCGCTCAGCTGGCTGGACTGTCTCGCTGTTGGATCTTGCTGGTGTGGATCACTTTGACGTCATTGAGAAGTTATCGCAGGACAGCTATATCCTGACTCAGGTAAGGGGAAGAGCTCCTATGCAGTCCCCATCTTTTGCTGTCCTGACCACAACAAAGATCAGCCAGGCCAGAAGAAGGGCAGTGGCAGTGTGTGTGCTTCCCCTGCATAGTGGGGTGGATGTGGGGCTGCTGCTTCTGGTCTGGTTATCATCTGCCGAGGGCTTGAAGAGAGGAACGGTTCCCCCAGATATGGAGGAACAGGCACCATTCACAGGGTTTGATTCCTCATTTCAGGTGATTCTGAACATGATTTCAAGAGCTTGATTACATGTTGGGAGCAAACTGGAGGTGAGATACATCCTGCCCACAGCCCCATTCCAGCCTGCTGGGTCTCCTCCTGCAGCACAGGATGTGATTACTGTCTCTGAACACCTCCGTGTGTGCTGCCTGGGACAGATGTGCCTCTTCCACTGCTCCCAGTCTACAGCCAGGCAGGGGGGCTGCTTGGAGCAGGAAAGCCCTAGTTATTACCAGTACTCTCACCTGTGCTGACATTTGTTTTCTGAGGTGCTTCTGTGCTTTGGGAGTGTTGCCTGTTCTTGCAGCAGGGCTGGCAGGCCTGCAGTGGGTCTATCTGGAAGACTGAATGATAAATTTTGTTCTCTTGGCTTCCTCCAAACTACTTATTGCAAATGTAAAAATAAATAGGAATAACTGCTGTCCGGATATAAATCTTCTTCCTAGGGATAAAGTGTTGTGTTAAGCCATCAAGTACAAACTTAAACTGATGCATAAATAATCTCCTCTCCAACCTTGGAGCTCTGGTCCCCTGCAGCTGGGCTCTCCTGTGGCTGGCAGCAGTGAACACACCATGCTCTGAGAAGGGCCCAGCCCTGTGTGCACAGGTATAGCACAGGGAATCTCTGGCCCAGAAGCGACAGACTCAGCGTTACAGATATGGAAGGCCAGAGAGCCAGCCTGTGGCTGGTGGAGAGACGCTGCGTTCGACTGGGGTAACACAGGCCACTGAGATGAGGAGTCATGGAGAACGTGTTTAGGAGGTGGCCAGTCAGCCAGCTTGAGGGCCGGCCTGGAAGGGGAGAGCCAAGCAAAGCCTGGGTGGATGAGGGGAACAGGCTGTGGGGGCAGCTGGGCCTCTCTGGAGAGGCCTGTCAGTGGCCAGGCTGGGCTCATACACCTGTGAGAGTCCCAGTCAGATTTTCGGTGCTGCTCTGCAGTGGCCCCGGTCCTACGGCTGTGAGGCACTTTATGTCCTCAGGAGCACTTGCCCCTCAACAGGGGCTGCCAGGCTGCGACGTTGTCCCCGCTGCATAGTCAGGGGAGGGGCACCCTTGGGGGACAATGTCCTGCACAGCTGCAGCACTGCCACAACACTTTATTTAGATCTCAATTGCCTCATTACAACTGCAAGAGCTGAGCTGAGAGCACTGGGCTGCAGAGACCGCTTCCTGCCCTGCCATTCTTGTGTAGCACAACCCAAAGGCCCCTGATTCAGACTGTTTTCTGTCTTTGGCTTTGTGATATGTGCTGCTGCTGCCCCACACTGCATGGCTGTGAGCAAGCTGCCCAGCTGTGCCCTGAGCATCCCTCAGGATCTTTCTTCCTGCTGCAGCTTGTACACACATGTCCAGTGCGCATGTGTTAGGTAAGTGCATAGCCTTGGAAGCAGGGGGTGTCTGGCCCTGCTTTTGGGCAGTGTCTCCAGTGACTGCGTTACAGGAACAGCATAGAGCTGTGTGGGCTGAGGACTAGAGGCTGTTCTGATTGTGTGTTTGCTGGGCTGACTAGTGAGGTGGGGAAGCTGCCTTGGAGTGGTCTGGTGGTGTGAGATGTGGACTCCCATCCCTCCAGGCACATCTGCAAATCAACTCCCTCCCACAGAGTGCTCCCATCTGGGAGGGTGCGAGCTCTGGTCTTGGCAGGGTTGGGCTCTCGCACTGGTTTGCAGGGCTGCAGGCAGGAGAGGTTATTGTGCTGCAGCCTGTCAGGGACATGCCTGGAGCATGTTCTGGCTGGTCCTGGACTCGTTGCTGCTGGCTGCCAGGAGGATGGGGGATGGGACAGTTGCCCCAGCCTCCAAACTTGCCTGCAGCAGCCAAGCAGGGTCAGCTTCAGGGCTGGGGCCAGGAAGATGCCCGTTCTCGCGTCTCAACTCAGTCGCCACCTCTGCTCCAAGGACTAGCGCCCAGTCCTAAGGCCAGTTTCTCCTGGCACTTCCTGGCCACAAAGTCCAGCTTGTTCTTTGCGAGCTCAGTGTCATGGGCGGAGATGTTCCAGTGCCAGACTGCACGCAGAGAGCGTGCTGACCAGGGGAAGAGCAGCACACTGACAGCGTGGCCCGTTTTGGCCACCTCCTCCTCGCTCACTGCCTGCATGCGCTTGCACAGCTCTGTGGGAGATGGCCAGTCTCCCTTCACTCCCACCAGCACGATGTTCGTCTCCACAGCCGTGAGGTTGATGGAGCAGAGGGGTGAGTTCAGCTCCTGGATGCCTGGGGGAGGCATGGGTCGTTAGGCTGTGGGTCTGGTGCCAGGCTTCTCAGGAGAGGAGGCTGCAGTGTTGCACTACCCCGGCTCCTGGGCTAACAGAGGGGCCTTTTGCCCTTGAGCAGCACCAGGATTATTGTGGGCACCACGCAGGGAAAAGGCATTGCATTGTCCCTGGATGTCATCCAGTCAGGCAGGAACCCCAGCTGGATTCTCACCTGGCTGGAGATCCAGCACTACAGCTGAGGGAAGGTGCTGTTATCCCCCAGCAGTCGAGATCAACATCAGCCCTCTGGCGCAGGACCGTATTGTAAAGCGCGGTGTGAACCCAGCCCAGGGCTGAGCCCACCACAGAGCAGAGCTGCTCTGGGGTACGGAGGAGTCCTGCCCCCTGGGCGTCCAGCTAACAGACAGGGCAGGAGCCAGCTCTGTGGCTGCGTGTGGAAAGCTGTGTGGTGGTGTTCTGCCAAAGGCACCCGTACATCCCAGGACACCTGAGATACCTTGAGCAAAGCGGCGGGCGTTGTCGTGGTCTCTGCGCAGTGTTGTCTCTGCGTGCTCCAGCCCAATGCGGGCAGCAGCTGCCAGCACGCCTGCCTGTCGCATCCCCCCTCCCAGCAGCTTCCGCACACGCCAGGCCTCGGCCACGAACTCCCTGCGTCCGGCAAGCACTGCTCCAGCCGGGGCGCCCAGGCCCTGCAGATCCAATAGAGAGCTGATCCTGAGAGCTGCCCCGGGGCACTACCCGCATCCCTCCCGGGGGTTCTCCCCTGCCCTAGCCAGCAACCTGGGTGCATAGCCCCATGCATCACGCCCCTGAAGAAAGGCAGGCCCTCAGCTTGCCCAGGGCGCCCCGTGTGAACGCACCTTGGAGAAGCACAGGGACACAGAGTCACAGTGCTGGGTGATCTGTGCTGGCTCCACACCCTGGGCCACCGCCGCGTTCATCAGTCGTGCTCCGTCCATGTGTACCCGCAGCCCATAGCGGTCAGCAAGCAGGCGGACCTGGGAGGAGGCAAAGGAGCAGCTGGGCTGCTAGGAACCGCTGGATGGACAGAGCCTGGAGGAGCTGCCAGCGCCAGCCCAGCGTGAGCTGCACTCTGAGCTGCTTGGCAAGGGCTTATGTGTCCCGGCTGTGCTGTCCTGCAGAGTCCAGCCTGCCTGCACCAGGGCAGGGTCGGCCAACAGCTGCTGGGACGCGAGTCCTACCTGCTGGAGGTAGGTGAGGGGCAGTGCCCGCCCCCCCGCCGACGCTGGGGGGGTATCAC